AGAGCTAAACCCATTGCCCTTCAGCCTAAACTTCTTTTATCTCTTGCATTCTTGATTTATGCTTTTAGCTTCTTGTTGGAAGAAGAATTGGTTTTAACCACTAGATAAACATTTTTGCATCATGACTCACTATATGCACACACAGTTATAGATGCTTCAAACAGTGTTATGTTTTACTGTTGATCACTCTCTGATATTTACTGCCTTTCTTTTTAAATAATGGATGGCATGTGTCTCACTATTAATTTATTGGTTTACCCCACCATTTGACCAGCAAGTGTTATTTTTATCCCAGAAAGTAGTGGGGGAACTTGCATTTTGCCCTGGGGGGACTATTTCAACTCTACATAAAATTTACATTCTCATAATTGGTGCTAAACCCTGCAACAGATAAATATAACCCCCTTGGATTCATTACCTGATGTTAGCCTCTCAGTCTGAGGCCAAGTACTTTATTATATCATCCAGACACACCATGCATTCGTCATCCTTCCATTCATCCACCTATTGTCCATCCATCATCCATCCATGCACCTATCCATCTATCCATCCATCCATTATCCAACCAATCATCCATCATCTCTATATTCAACAATTCATCCATCATCCATCCATCAATTCATCCATCCCTCCATTCACCTATCTATCATCCACCCAGTCATCTATTCCTCCATCCATCATCCATCCATCCATTCATCCATCCATCCATTCCATCCATCCATCCATCCATTCCATCCATCCATCCATCCATCCATCCATTCAACATTTTCCAAATCTGTATCGAGTACCAGACACGTGGTGAACACTAAGACTCTAAGGGTAAACACAGTCTCTACTGTGAGACTCGCAGTCCAATGGGAAAACAAGTCATCTGTCGACCACCAGGTGTTCTGTAAGTAGAAGTCTGAAGAAAGTATTCTGGGATCACAGAGAAGCAATATGGGCCTTGAACTAGATTGTCCAGAGACTCTTTCAGGCACAGGTGAAGCAGATGTGGGAGTCCAGCTGGCCAAAGCAGAAGCCAGCCATTTAGGAAATGAAAGCAAGGATAGCAAGCATGCCAGGGCAGTCCAGCAGCTTTGAGAAATGAAATGCTGCAATTGTTCCCCCAGTTGCTCGCTGGTGCTCCCATGCCTTCCTTATTGGCACTGCCTTTGACTCAATACTCCAGGGGAGCCAAGCATAGTGTCCTCCCCAATACCCACCCCAGTGTCTTGTAGAGACCCTTTGTCATGCCGAAGGAAACTGATTTCTCCTCTGTTCACCTCCCTCACCAGGCGAGGAGTGTCTCCAAGGAGTCCCAGGCTTTGCATCTTTTGTGGGAAGCTGGTGGCACCCAGGCTGCTTGAGTAGATTTAAAGCTAGCTGCACAAATGTGTGTTTAAAAGACCTCTCAGAGTTGACTGGTTAGTGTCGGGTAACCAACTGATGTGCTCTTCCCGGGAAGACTATTTCTTCTTCTCAACATTGCGTAGATTCTTGTAGTTCTTGGTGTTGGGTTGAGGCCCCCTGGACTTCTCCGCATCCACTTTAGCGTGTCTATTGTCCTTGTTCATAGTTTTGTTGGTGAGTCTTGTTAGGGTGTAACTTCTGACCTTCCAGTCTCACTGCAGACTCCCTGATCCCTCTGTCTCTTACAGTCTTCCCACTCCCTCTTTTGCAGTGATCTCGAGCCTTCAGTGCAGGGGGCGTATTTTCCATCTGTCAGTTGGGATTATTCTTCTTAACTCTATGTTTTGATTGATTGTAGTTTTCTCTAGTGATCTGTTTGCTGCGGAGAGAAGTTTCCATAATTATGGGTGAGAACTACACTTACCTGTGGCTATAAGGGCAAGTATTTGGGATGTAGTGAGGGGTTATGCTGTTTTCCTAGCCTGCTGGTTGTGGGTTATTCCCTTGAGATCTATGACTTCACTAGCCTTGGGTAGTTGCCTAGGTTTCCAGTACCCAGCATGCTTTTTTTCTTCTTAAATGAGTCTGAAGTCCAGTTATAGAGCTGTTGGTTACTGCCAAGGGATGTGTGCCCCTAAGGCACAATAACCCCACGAGGGTTACTGTGACTTGCTAGCCCCTGCTGTGGTTCCAGATGTTGAGCCCAGAAAACATACATGTAACTAAGGTCATACAGACTGAGCATGTTTTGTTTATGTATTTAGGAATGTGTGTGCACACACATAACAATGATTAATGGAAAAAGAGACTGTGAATTTGAAAAAGAGCAAGGAGAAGTATATGGAAGGTTTACAGTGAGGGAAGGGGTGGTAAAATGCAGTTCTATTATGACTTCAAAAAATAAAAGAAAAAGTTAGAAAAAAAGACCTCTCAACTCTTGTGACATGTTATTTAGAGATGGCAGGGGCTTTCATATACTATAAACTCATTTACTTATGTGTATGGAGACTCTTAAATTCTGATAGCACAAATTGAATTTTCTTTTCTCATAAGTTATTAACAAAAGATTGTTTTTTGACTTTTAGGCAATGTTCTTTTGCTAACTTCGAAATGTCTTGGCCTTGGAACTTATTAGTTCATGCAAATGAAAATCTGGCCCAGAGACAAGGCACACACTTCCCCTAGTACACAGATACCTGTCCTTGCCCATCATCCACTTAACCCACGCTGCCCCTTCTGAAAGGCCTTATACTGGAAGCAAAATTAATTTTTAATTCTCATTTTCCCTTTTGAACATTGTGCCCACTTTGCATTTCCTGAGCAAAGGCTTCAAGACTATCTACAGAAGAAATGGAGCCCAGGACCCGATGGCCAAGTCTGTCATAAAGAACAGTCTGGTGTGGTTTGTCTGTCCTGTTAACTTGCATGTGGAAGCCATAGGGTTACGAATCTCCATGAAACAGAGCACTCTACAGGGACAGGGACAGGGACGATGCCTAGGAAAGACTTGCTGCTATGGGCACTGTGAGAACATTACCACCAGGACAGTAGTCGTTCTTCAGCAGGACTTAGACCTGCTGAACTCTGTTCATAGAATATCCAGAGACCCATATGTGGTGCAAAGACTGTGTCATGTCAAAATTTTAGTAGAACGTGCTTCTTTTCAGTTGTTAAAGTTTAGTATTGTTGACCTCCAGTGTGAGAACAAAGAGGAACATCATCTCCAGACAGCCATGTGTGTGTGTGTCTGTGTGTATATTTGTGTGTTTGTGTCTGAGAGAGAGAGAGAGAGAGAGAGAGAGAGAGAGAGAGAGAGAGAGAGAGATCTGAAAGCGTGGGAAAGTGCCTTTCACAGAGACATTGTTACCAGAGTTCTTTATACAGTTATCTTTTCTCTTCCCTCTGGGCCCCTTGTCTGTCTCCGGGCCTCTCTCCACATAGTCCATCAGTTGTGTAACCTTGTTTATATAGCTCTGTGGTGGTTTGAATGAGAATGTTCTCCATGGGCTCATATGTCTTAATGCTTGTCCCAAGTTGGTTGAACTGTTTGGGAAGGATTGGGGGTGTGGTCTTTTGTGAGGAGGTGTGTCACCTGGGTTGGGCTTTGAGGTTTCCAGAGCCCATACCATTTACAGTTAGTTCCCTCTGCCTCATGCTCATGACTAAAAGTGTGAGCTCTCAGCAGCTGACCAGCACCATGCCTTCCTGCCTGCTGCCATGATCTCTACCGCAATGGCCACGTACTCTTACCCTCTGAAACTCTAAGCCATAAATAAATATTTTCTTCTATAAGTTCCTTCATTGTGGTGTCTTATCACAGCAATAGAAAAGTAACCAAGACAAGATCTATTTTATTAATGTTTTCAAGATTAACCAACTAATTTCAAAGAAGAATTTTATCATCTCACGTGTTGATTTAATATCTCAGTGAGGACATGATCCATGTGTTTGTTACTGACTCACCAAGGTAGGAAATGTAAATAAAGTGCTCACTGTGTGTGCCACCCATGACCAACAGAGCCCTGGAACCCTTTACCCATAAATCCCTGCTCCGATCACCACAGCTGTGCATTGCCTCTACCTAGGAGTGCCTGCTGGTCCTCAGCTAGAGCAGTGTGTGGCTTCCTTGTCTCTGTTGTGCCCACCCCTGTATCCTCTTCACAGTTCCCCACCGTTGTTCTTACTCTTTTAACTTGCTGACTGTCCCTGCTTGCCCAGGGTCATGTAAATGGCAGCATCTGACTGGGACTCCCCTGAACTAGGAGCCGTCTCCAAGCCCCTTGCATCCCTGAGTCAATCTGGTTTTCTGTAGGACGTTATTTATTTATGGAATGCCATGGAATATTCTCTAGCCAGATGAGACAAATGTCGTCACTTCCTGGTTTATCAATGTGGAAAGGGAAGCCCTGAGAACCTCCTTCCCGCCCACGTTTACTTGGCGAGAGGAGAGCAGCTTGTCTTCAAGGCTCTTACCTCTTCAACTCCACACTTTTGATGAGAACTACTGAGTTTTGTTCCCGTGATCATTAAGAGCACGGAACACTTGAGTGGAATGTGGGGGCCCTAAGTGTCGCTGAATTCCTTTTACAAGATCAAAAGTAGATGAGGGAGAAACAGGAACAAGGATAGAAAAAGAGACTCTGCATGCAGAAGATTATTTTGAGGAGAAGAAACTGTAAATCACAGTGGTTAAACTGAAGCGTACCGAGAGATTTTGAGCATGTTAAACTGTGAAACTCGAAACATTGCGATGCTGAGACAGAGGGAATGGGAGCAAATGACAGAACTCTCATAACTGCAGTGATACTCTCTGAAGGTGGAGTGAAGGACAGTCCCTCGTGAGAGCCGTGAGGGGCACTGGCACACTTTATTCGGTTCCATGAAGATGACATTGTATTGTGTGATTCTTCATGAACTTATTAAGTATGAACTGATAAAATATAACGAACTTCATTTGTCACATTCAGCTGCATTTGTTAGAACACAGAGAGTCGCCTTGGCTTGTTCTTTACCTGGCTTTGCTTTTATTGAAACGAAAACCCTGCACTTGAGAACTTTGAGTGCTTTGGAAATAATGTCTGTTTTCACCATGTCCTGTTCTTTACTAGGTTCTTGGAACACCAAATGAGGACACGTGGCCGGGAGTTCATTCTTTACCGCATTTTAAGCCAGGTATGTTTCACTAATTGCAAATATTAGGAGCTTATGATATGAAAAAGGTGACTATACAAATGTGCACATTCAAGCAACATGCAGCCTTGAACCCGCCTATAAACCTTTGCCATTGTATATTTTATGCGTTAATGGAGTTGTCTTTGTATTTGCACCATTCATTTTTTTAATTGACTTCACTGCCCATTCACCATGGGAGTTTCACCATATAAACTATGTTTGATTTGTCTAAATGATCTTGTAGTAACTATTAATTTCATAATCAATTAGACATGTTTACCTGCTTATAAAATCAGACTTTAGCTGCAGAGCTGGCAAAGCAGTGGTAAAGCTTTTACTGCATTAGCATAAGAATATGAGTCAGGATTCCCAGCATCCATGAAGAGAGCTAGGCATGGTGGGTGGTCCCTATAATCCCAGTCCTGGGTAGACAAAGAAGGCAGATCCCTGGGAACATGCTGGCAAGGGAAGTCTAGAAGAATCTGTGAGCTCCTGGTTCAGTGAGAGACCCTGTCTCAAAAATGAAATGAAGAGAAATTAAAGACGAGCCCCAGTATCAACACACGCACAAAGCACAATTTAAACTGATCACAACTGATCAACTCAAACATATCACTACTTCTGAAATTAAGAAATTGTAGTAAATTATACAAAATGAAAACTTATATTTTTCCTTTCTTGACTTATGCTAGTAATATGTGATCAGACAATTTGAGCTTAATTATATAAATTGTCCTGATTCTCCAACTGTGTGACATTTGATATTCAGTGGAAATTCCTTAGGCCTCCTAAACTGGAGGCCTTTGAATGCAGAATTCCAAAAATAAGCTGTCTCCTTCTCACTCGCCAGAAGATGGCAGCCATGACGTTTTCAGTTTTAACAGTGACAAGAAAATCTGACCTGATGTCCTTAATTTTTATTGAAGGGATGAAAGATTTGCAGTTGAAAATTGATTGAAATCAGGAAAATGAAGTATTGTAAAGTCTTTCCCTTGTTTTTCTTTTTGGGTTACAAAACATGGTTCTTGAAATGTAGACCTGCCATCGAGTTTCCAAAGGAGTTTCACAGAGTTGTGACAGCCGCTGTCCTGTCAGAGGGCGAGCTCCGTGTAATTTTGCTGAGGGGAGCTAGTGTGTTTCTGCTGTTTCTTTTCCCATCTTTGGCAACTCCAAATAAATGAACAATCTCAGAGAATGACTGAGTTGGGAAACTGTTTTTATTCTTCATAGTTTTGTTCTGAAAGTGTGCGGTGTGCTGAGAATTCTTTTATCTTATTCAGAACCCTGGAGGCTCTTGGTACTTTACTGAAAATGAGTTCTATGTTTGGAAAAAAATCTAGAAACACAGCTATTTATTATAATAGTTTTTTTTAATTGAGCAAGAAGCATCTTGTAACCAGTGTACTTATTCCTAGTGGAGTTTAAGTCAAGAAGACAGCTCTTTCTAGGAGGCACAGGCTCTCATGGTTAGCAATCTTGTTAAGATATACAGTTTTGAGATGAAAGGAATAAAACAGACAATCCTGAGAGGCCAGAGTTTAGCTCACTGGCCGAACCCCAGCCTAGCATTTACTAACAACAGACAAACAAATAAGATTTTAAATGAATAAAGACTTATACATAAAGGACCGATTCATATAATAATTTCACCTGCCAAGTGTTCATACTAAAGAAATATGGAGGAATTTGTCTATTTTAATGTGACTAGAGCTTATTTTCATCAAGAATACCTATAAGTCCTTAAAAGTTTCTAAAAAGTGTAAAACGTAGAACAAATCAACATAGCAGATTGTGAATTCCAGGAGACCAGGGACTGTGCACAGCACAGAGCTGGCTCTCAGAGCTTGACTGCTGTTCTGGGTTATACTGAATATTTGAAAACAGTCTTACTCATGAGACTCCTCTGATAGAAATATATAAACCATAGTAAATACTGTGTGATATCAGCAACAGACACAGTCGTGCTGGTAGTTCAGAAGAACAACACACCTAGATGGTGTAAGGCTCGACTGAGAGAGACAGGATTCTAAACTAGATGGTGTAAGGCCCGACTAGCAGAGACAGGATTCTAAACTTGATGGTGTAAGGCCCGACTAGCAGAGACAGGATTCTAAACTAGATGGTGTAAGGCCTGACTAGGAGAGACAGGATTATAAACTCAACTGGGAGAAGCAGGATTATAAACTGAGGGGAGACAGACCCCTGAGGACTTCCACATAGTGCCCAGCCAGGCCATCAAGAAGTCCTAGTCTCTGACTTCATAGCCCTTCGACTCCAAGGGAAGAAAACACATATCCCAAAGGGCATTAGCATTCTAGGGATCACCTCTCCTGCCCTACGCCCCACCTCCCTATTCTGTCCCCAAAGATGGCTACAGAGACTCTGAAAGGGGAGAAGAAAAGCTACAAGGGCATGCTTTCCATAATAATAAAAAATTATATGTGTGTGATTGTGTGTGTGTGAGTGTGTATGTGCATGCGTGTATGTGAGTATATGTGTGTGAGTGTGTTTGTGTGCGCGTATGTGCACGCACATGTGTGAGTGTGTATGTGTGTGCATGTTTGCATGTGTGTGCATGTGTGTGTGAGTGTGTGTATGTGCGTGCGTGTGTGTGAGTATATGTGTGTGTGAGTGTGTGTGTGTGCACGTATGTGCATGCACGTGTGTGAGTGTGTATGTGTGTGCTTATGTACGTGCGTGCGTGCGTGTGTGTGTGTTTTTACATTCCATGGTGCACATGTGGAGATCAGAGAGAAGCTTGCAGATATTTGCTCTCCTCTTCCTCTGTGTGGGTTCTAGAGATTGAACTCTGGTCATCAGTCTTGATGGCAAGTGCTTTTACCTTCTTTAACAGGATAAATTTAAGCATTTTGGAAGTGAAACAATACCATAGTGCAAACATTCTCCTTGCCCTTTCTCCCATCTGCCAGCTTCCCCAGAAACCACCCTGCCCTCCCTGGCACAAGGATCCCTCTTTGATATGGTAGCTGTTTGTTTTTCTTTCCTTTATGTAAATCTAACAAATTATGAATATATATGTATGTATAGTATTTTTCCTAAACAAACTGCAATTGTGTCTTGTTTTTCACACATGTCACTGTGAGTACATTCGTGTGGCTTCCCTCTTGTCTTCGAATGCTGAATTGTCTCCTGCTGCTCAGATTCAACCTGTTCTTTAGCTGTGGACATTGGGCTGACCACTATTCAAAGTGTTAGTGCAGCGGCAGCTACATCATACAGAAAATGGGGAGAGATAGGGTTAAAGGGTCCACAAGTATAAGCAGCTGTGATTTAACACTTCTGTCACTCCATAGCCATGGTCTCTTGTCTGTGTGCAGCAGTGCTTGCCGCGCCTCCCCAGCTCCGTTCTACTCTGGAACGTGGGGCCAGACTCAACCAATGAGCAGCTGAAAGAAATCTCACCTGAATGTTGGTTTGCATGCTTCCTCTAATGTGAGGCTGGGCAACCGTTCCCTGTTTCAGCTTTTCCTTACTGTGAACTGTTTGTGGCCTTTGCTCAATTTATAGTTGAAAGTTATACGTCATCTCCCTTTCAATTCTAGGAGATTTTATAATTTAAGGTAATTTCTCTTTTATCTATGCAAGCCTTTTTTCCTCTCTAGATTTATGGTACAGGAGAATTGTCTGTATTCTGTCTATCATATTTTAAATAAACACTGATTGGCCAGGCAGGAAGTATAGGTGGGTCAACCAGACAGGAAGTAGAGTCAGGGTAATGAGAGCAGGAGAATTCTGGGAAGTAGGAAGCTCCCTCTGCAGTCCTGCGCAGATTACTGGAGAGGCAAGATGTAAGCTGCCCCGCTGAGAAAGGTACTGAGTCATGTGGCTAACATAGATAAAAATATGGGCTAACATAAGTTATAAGGGCTAATAAGTAGCCTGAGCTAGTGGGCCAATCAGTTTATAATCTTATGGAGTCCTCTGTGTGATTTTCTTTGGGACTTGCTGGTTGTGGGGTATCGGGTGGGACAGAAACCCCAACAAGCCGGTCCCTTCATGTTACAGATTTAACTGCATAAGTGTATACCAAAAATGTTGCACAGAAAATACACTGAAATGAAGTGGCCCTGAGAACTGTCTGACTCAGTCAGTACAGTTAAATTAGCTGTTCAGGATAGATGCTGTGAAACTTCTGAACACTGGATTGTTTACTTTCACTATCAGACATTTTTATGCACTTGTTTATGACCAAAAGCAAAAATCCCACAGCAGAATTAGAACTAGAAAAACAATGACCTCATATCCCCTTTTATAACTCCTGATCATTACCTGCATTCAGTCCTTCCTCACAGCCACATATGGTCTCCTTTCTGGTCTCCTTTCTACCCACATATACATATATATGTACATATGTGTGTATATTAGATAGATAGATAGATAGATAGATAGATAGATAGATAGATAGATAGATAGATAGATAGATAGATAGGTAGATGATCGATAGATAGATAGACAGACAGACCAGATTTTCATTATCCATTCATCTATGGCTGACAACTAGGCTGATTCCATTTCTTTTCTGTAGTGAGTACGGCAGCAGTAAGCATGGGTGTATCTCTGTGTACTTCTGGATATATGCCCAGGTGTGAAGTAGTGGGGTAAAATAAGGTAGTTCTAGTTTTAGTTTTCTGAGAAACCCCCAGTGACTGTATTACCTTGCCACCTCCATCTAGAGTGAAGAGGGTTCCTGAAGTGACCACTGACACCTCAGAAACTCTACACACATAATGACCTCAGGGCCCACTAGAACCAATGCTCCAGACTCTCACAGAATGCTGAGCACAGTGGAGCTGAAGTGTGGGCCCAGTGCTGACATCTGAGGCCACTGTACTAGAGTCTGGCCACAGGTTGCTCTCTGGTCCTGCAGAAGCCAGAGGCCCTCTAAAATTTTAAGCAAGATTGAACATAGTCCTTAATGTTAAGTTATGTCTTTTCTGACTTGCTTAACAATAAAGTTTGCCTCAAAAAAATCCCATGAC